TAAAAAAACACAAAAAAAAATCATCTATTAATTAACCGCAAAAAAACAAAAATCCTCATTTATCCCACATTTTCAACATAAAACATTTACATACTTACTGACATTAGTAACAAAAAAAGGGCAAAAAAGAAAATAGAAAATTCAAATTAATATCGTAAATATCCTTTTCTAGAAAAAATTCTTAAACATTCAACCTTAAAATATAAATTTTACTGTTTTCATATAAAAACAAATAAAAATATACGCAACCATAAATATCTAACTATAAATTTCATATACATACATCTATACATACTCCTTTACTTATTTTAAATAATATCCTTTTATACCTATGTACAAACAAGTTTTCCTTAACACGAGAAATACATACAAAAATATTTTACTCCTCTATTTTACTCACACCCTATTCGCACGTCATCACCCCTATCTCCGACGAAAAAAAAAGGCAAAGAAAAATAATTTTTCCTGCTCTATCAGTTTTCATTTTTTATTTATTAATTTTCTATTGCAGGTTTTCTTTTTTTTTTTTTGCTTGTTATTTTACTAAACAAAATTTCTTTACATTTAATTAAACGCCGACGACGACGACGACGACATCTCTATCACTACACCTTCCCCTACTCCTCCCTCCTTCCCACTACTCTTCAATTTATAATATAAAGCACTAGACGCAATATAAATATGTATACATATAAAGGATCGATAGGACCAGACAGACTATTAAAAATATAAAATAACAATAATAAAAAAAAAACAAAATCAGAAAAAAAAGGGTCTTTTTCTAAGGATATTTATACATACTTGTATAGAGTTGGCGAAAATAATAAAAAAAAAGAAAATTCATTTTTCGTTACATTTCCATTTCAAAGAGCACCAACGTAACAGAGACAAAAACAAAAAAATATTTTGCGTTCTTGTTATTTTTATGTGAGAACGATTTTTTGTTTCATTTAAAAAAGAAAACAAAAAACGTCAGAATTTTCTATATAATAAAAAGAAAAAGAAAGTAAAACGGAAAATAAAAAACACCACGACGGCATAAAAGGAAAATCAACAGAAAATTTTCTTCAATAAATAAAATGTCAAAAGTTAGGATAGGTTGAAGGGGGGGAAAAGCAGGGGATAAGGAAGAGGGTTCAACCTATTTATATAAAGTATAAGGTCTTCTTGCAAAACATTAAAAAGCACAGAAAAAGGAAAGAAAATAAAGAAAAAGTAAAAAAAAAAAGGAATTTCAAGAAAAATTCAACACACCTCCGTAATAGTTCTCATTTAAAGTTTGCTTGCTTACCCAGTAAACAAAAATTAGCAAGTATTACGAGTTAAAATGAACTAAATCTCAATTTCTAAAAACGTAGAGCGAATCCTACAGTCTATATATTTTTGTAAAGAAAACGATCAAAAACATTTCAGGCGATTTTAGTTATGCTCTAAACTTTGACAATTTGACTATAAAAATGAGTTTTTACAATCAGTTAAAAGCAGCTTTTCAGAATGTATGGAAGTTACTCGAATTTCCTTGGTAGAAAAAAACAAAAAAATTTCTGAAATTTTGGTGGTGTTTGCTTTATTAACTTTTGGTGTATTGCACGATACAAGATTAAATTAAAGTAGAATTCTACGTTGGTCAACCTTATATGTTCATACTGCAGAGGACTCCTTCAAGTGGTTACATGCCCCATTCTAGGTGTAGTAAATCCGTTAAAACATAAAAGAAAAATGAAAGATACTCTCTGCTTATATGGACAGTTGGTCTCTTCTACTGACCATCCAGGGCAGTAATATTATACTTTTCAATTAAACTGACTTCATTGGTTTACTGGGCTATTACTTATTTTTATTACTATGTATACGTATTTCTGTTATGTGCGTGTATGCATGATGATAATAAAAATAAGATAGAAAAAAAAGAAGAGGAAAAAAAGGAAAAATTATTATTCTTGCTCTTTCAAGCATACATTAATAAAATTATATTTTATTTTCTTTTGATTTTCTTTTGATTTTTGTAGCCTAAAAGCCTAAATTTTCCTCAAATGTTGCTCCTCATCGCTAGACGTTTACTTTAATTATACATACATATACATACTAACAAATTTTTATTACATATATGAAAGAATGTACGAATAAATTAAATATTGTATTTTTGTGTAAGTGCGGGTGCGTGTATATTTTAAAAATAACGTTATGAAATTGTGTAGATAGAGAGAAAGAGAATGAAAATAAAAAACACAAAAAATATATGTTCATCATTGTGTGTCCTTGTTTTTATCCTTGTTTTATCTTTTGCCATTTTGTTTTTACTATTCTCTCTAATTTTTTTTATTGCTTTTCGCAGTACACATTTTTTTCTTTCTTCCTTCTTAGTTAATAAATACACGTATACGTACGTACGTATACATAAATTAAGAATGTTAAAATGTACGTATATGTAGTTGTATATCAACTCTTTCCTCCCAATTACAAAAATATTTTAAAATTTTAGAGTTGTTTGAATTTTTGTCTGAAAAGTTTCTTCGTACCAACATGTAAATAATGCATAATGAGTGTTTATGTATATGTATATGCGTAAGGATATAACGTTATTGAATATAAATTTTGTATGAATATTTATGGCAACCACGTACGTATATTTTTATATTATATTCTGGTGTTTTGGGTAAATTTTTTTTAGTACTCACCAGAATATTAAATTGCGTATAGACATGTGCGTGCGTCAATGTCAATGATTATTATTTTTTGTACATGTACATAGCTGTATATCTATAGCTATGGATATACATTGTCGTTAGAACTATACGTTAGGCTCAATATACAAGTATATTTCATTTTTGTGTAATAGCCGTAATTTCTTTTTTTTTTACCAGAGATAGCGGTTCTTTTTTTGTGTATAAAAAATTTGATAATTTATTTTAAAAGCATACTTATGTATTATGTAAGGTTGTTTATTTTTTTTTTGTCTGTAAAACTAAGAAAGTAAAACCGAATAATAACAAAAAAGGTTATTTTGACAGAAGGAAGAATTTTTTATATTTTGGCTGTGCTCAATACTAAGTAAAACACCAACAGATGATAAAATTTCTTTTTAAAATCTACTATCAATAAAAACAAAGCAGCTTTTAGATCAAACAAGTTGCAATATAAACCTGAATTCCGCGATATTAAACCCACAGCATCCCTTATTTGGGTACAAGCTGGTCATTATACCTGATAAAACTTATGTGATGTAATATTAATTTATTACTAGAAAGAGGTTTAGCTTTCATGGGGGTCCAGAATTTGTGAGTTCCGGATATGAACCAGTCTTTCACCCCACAAATGAGGTAATTTTGTGCAAAAAATATAGAGGCTCCCATCTCCATTTACATTAGTACTATAACTAGGGCTCTGATAAATATTAGTAGAGCAGTTATCTACGGCTGCGAGGCTTCGATAGGGGTCATAAAGTCTCTTCAGAAACATTAAAGTCGTAGGTGAGCCACCGGCTTGCATTCACACAATAACTGCTCCATTGTTTGGTTCTTTTCTTGGCAAAGATGGCAGATCTCGTCGTTCGTCATATAAATTTTTTTTTAGATGGGTCATCGAGAGGCAATGCCCAAGTACTTCAACTAATAGCCTTAAATCTGGGCGACCAAGGGTTGCCAATTCTCGCCCATTCAGTTTTAAAAGACACACAAATTTTTTTTTGATTGAGATAGGCTCGTTAAATTGTTCCAATTATCAACGTTGTCCCGTTCTTTCAAACTATTCAGGGCGAGCCGGTGTTGCATTTCGCACCCCAAAGTATATCTCCGGTCCAATGGAAGGACTTATTTGCGTCTACGTCGCAGTGTCCTGGCACCCATATCGAACTTAGATTGTTATACCTAGCCAGAATGTTAAGGACACCATTATTCCATGTGGACCCCATTACATAAAACAAAAGGTACTCAAGATCGGCCCTATTGGGATCTTGCTCCTCCTGAGATTCTTTTTGATACACTCCAGAGCACACAATTCAATAGAAGCTTGAAATATTGAAGGACAAATACCCTCAAACAGATCCTTTAAAATTTTCAAAATTTTTAAAGACCTAAAATGTTATTTGTAGCAAAACGAAAAGGTAAAATTAAATTTATGGACCACAACCAAAATATCTGATCTATTAAAAAGCAATAAATTGCAACCCCCCTATATCTATTTAAAATGTAAATAAATTTAAAGTGAAATCTTTAGTGTCACTGCACCAATTTTATTTTTTAATTATTTAAAAATAATTTATTTATGTTGGCATTGACTGAAATAATGAAATTTTCTTGAAATTTTTAGACAAAATGTAAAAGATTTAATGAAATTTTTAAATAGAACGTTAATAAAATATTCGCAATGATTTATAAATAGAAATATTTATTTTTTTTTATTTTATTGATTGACTTTTAAATAAAGTATGTGGAATCGTGATTGAGAAGTGAGGTACTTTGACCTCATTTTATAATAGCTTTTATACTTATATACGTGGATGAGTATGCCTGAATATTCCACCTATCTGAAATATTTTAATTCATTATATTTATAGGCCTTTTCATAATCGCAATATATCACGATATATAGCGAAAACTGCAATATATTTAAGTTCATAAACAATGTTGCAATGCAATTGTGTTCATAAACCTTGCTAACTTATCAAAAAAAATATCTAAATTATCGCGACTACCTGAAGTATTTGTCCATCAAAATTATTCCAGGCGGTGTTTTGCTTGTGACTGTGATAGGAAAGACTTTGTGACTCTAATAGAAATCTTGTGGTGGCTGCTGTGTATCAGGCGCCTAGGTATGGGTCTAATGTATGTGGGAACGGGAATAGCAAATGATACTATGGGTGAGAAGGTTTTAAAAGGCTCGGTTGTCTAAGGGAAAAAAGTATTTGCTTTTTTTTGTTTAATTAAATAACAAGTAAATAACAAGAATTACTATCTTAGAATAAGAATTATTATATTAGAAATAAGTAAAAATATACTCACCGCTTATTATTTTCAATTAGTTTTTATTATCCTGAAAGAAGAGAGAAAAAATATTTTAATTTAAGTACATAAAATCTATAAAAACTTAAAATTAATTACTAAAATTGTGTTGTTTAATTAAAAAATGAAGTGAGAAAATTTATGCTTTGTTTTACTTAATCCCACACTCTCAAAATATTTATTTAGTATTAGCAAAAGGTTATTCTAAAACTGAAATATTTTATTTTTATTACAATCCTTGCGTATATCGATTCAATTTACCAATAAACTCAATTTATTTCAAATAGGATAATAAAATAACAAATGAAATAGAATCCTTAAAAAAGGATATTTCCTATGATTTAAAAATGGAAAAATGTGAAATTATTAAAAAAAATTTAACAAATTCAGAAATATCCTTTTTTTTATTTGCTTTACCATTAAATCCAATATTTACTTTCCAGTATTACAAAATAATGTACTCCATATTGAAATATGATTAAAGCAATAAATTTAAATATGCCTCCGTGGCGCAATCGGCTAGCGCGTTCGGCTGTTAACCGAAAGGTTGGTGGTTCGAGCCCACCCGGGGGCGCAACAATATTTTGTAATAATTTTTTTTTTTTTGTATTCTTTTACAAATTTTTTAATTTTCTTATTAAATTATAATTATTTAATTTTAAAATTAAATCTTATAAAATTTTCTTTTAACATGTATTGTAAATGTAAACATCAACTTGTTTTAGTTGCAATTTAACATTCATTTTTCATTCTACAAACACATTCTTTGATGAATCATATTTTTCATGTTTTCTCTTCTATACATAAGCAATTCATTATTTATTGAGTTATTCATTCATTCGTATTGAGTTTTGTGTATAGTAGAAACCACTTCAAAAATAAAGTAGGTAGATAGAGTACACACTGAGTTTGTTTTTCTCTCTTTCTCTTTCTGTTACACTAAATAAATATATGTAGATATCTACTGTTGAAATAAAAATTCTTTTTTATTTTCTTACTTCTTACTTACTTAATTTTGATTCTATTATTTTGATTTCATTTCATTTGGTTTATGTTTGATTGTTGAGCTTTGGTAAATGGTGAATATTTTTTTTTTAGTCTTTGATTGTTCTATTCTACGTTATTTTACTGATAATCTAATGTCTAACCTAAGATAATGTTGAATTTCATTTGATATTGAAAATATGTAATAAAATTTATATGTCCTCGGTAGTATAGTGGTCAGTATCCCCGCCTGTCACGCGGGAGACCGGGGTTCGATTCCCCGCCGGGGAGGATGCTTTTTTTTTTTTATTAAATTTATTTAATTTATTAATTAATTAACGGTTTTAATATACTACTTATAAAAAATATAATAAACGAGTAAATTGATTTTTTTTGCTGGTTCTGTGGTGAAATGACGAAAATGGTGGATGTTACGATGAACTTTCTCATTAAGTATTGAGCCACAGAAGAAGGAAGGAAGTCTTTGAATGGTTACGGTCTCGTAGCAAAAGAGTTGCGAAAAGTCGAACAAGATCCCGGAGTTTATGAGGAGAATATAGGGTTTCGAGGGAACGTTTGGGGTGTTATAAGTTGAAGGCGGCAGAATACATTCACTTCTTGGGTTGTGGTGTATTATTCCCCATGTAATCTAATCTAATCTCATCTAATCTGCTAAAACGGTTTGACTAAAACAATTTAAAGAAAAAGTCTACAATTATTCTATAAAAATTGCAATAAACAAAATAGAATAATTTATTGTTTATAAGGGAAGGGAGTCGTTTGGGATGTCGAAATGCCATAAATCAACTATTTTTATATTTTTCCGAATTTCACGGGAACTAGTTTGTGTCAATTATTGCACTTTTATTTGAGGCATATGATCGACTGTAATTTTGCATGCCATAAGTTATTCGAGAATATACATAAATATGTAAGGCCTTTAATGGGATAATCAAATACAATTAGTTCGAATTAAACATATAAGTAGGAACTAGGAATTTTGAAGACTTCTATTTATTATTATAGACCATAAACTATTAATTTAGACAATAGGTTTTAATCATAAACTAATAATCAAAATTTAATTTAGATTTTTTTTTTAATTTTTCACAATGATGCACGAATATATAATTATCTATCAATTTTTTTTGTACATTTATAGACAATATGCTTTTCAATGCAAGGTCATCGGAAACATTCAACCTTTTAACTATTATATAGTTAAAATGTTTATTATATTCAGTTGTTATTTGATTGCTCATCACAAACACAACAATTTGACATTTTATTAAAAGCTTTTTTGCTCTTTTTTTCCATTTCAATAAAATGCAGGAAAAGCCCCATACATATTGCAATACTATATTTTTTTATTTCTGTGTTTCTTGTGTCCCCAATCGCTACTGGAAATACATTCAACTTGAAACTTTTCATTAATATCTATTGAATGTTTATTATACTCTTATGAAAATGCATAAAAATTGCAAGTTTTTCTATGAACTTATACTACTATCCAGTGAAATGCGGTTATAGGGGAAAATTTAGATAAGTTGAATGAATGAATCAATGAATGTTGTGGCATCATCATCATCATCATTTCATTAAAAAAAGCTTTTCTAATTTCTCAGGGCATTGAATAGGCACATATACAAATTTAATAGAGAAAAAACAAAATGAAAAATAAATGTTTTGCCACAATGATCACCACAGGAAAAATTAGAAAACGGCATAAAAATAGAAGCAAAACTAAAAAAAAACAAAGAAAAAAAAATTTAAAAGTGCATTTTTTTTTTGTTTTGCAAAACTCGTGTACAAATCATTTTGAGCTTTCTGGCTAACAATGAATTTTATAAAAATAGAAAAAAAAAATGAAAACCCTATTAAGTAGTTTATAGAACCGTAATAATAATTTGCGGTATTATACATATACATATGATGTAGGTATAATCCGTTGATATAACAAAATGGTCGAATGCGACTAGAGTTTCGATTAATTTCCTTTATTAAAAATTTTGAGTTTGGAATATTATTTTGTAGTTTAGTCTCATTTGGAAAAGAGAACAAGAAAAATAAAAGTGACTTCCAAAGCACGTATTCTCCAGCGCTTGTCTTCCAAAGGTGGATGACCGCATTTTAAGCACATCTATGACTTGAGTCCGAGTTATTCAATGCGTATAACAAAAAATGCTTGGTACATATATGGACCTCGAAAAGATACACAACCTCCTAGGGCTTATCAGATATAACTCACATTTAAAGTAATGGTTTTTTGTTGCGAATAAAATATCTTGTAAGAAGGCGAACTTGGAAATGAATAATATAAAAGTCTTTACATATGCAAAGTCCTATATTATTAAACCCGGTCAAATGACTATTTAAAAATGCTCACATTTAACTGTAAAACTAAGGTTAAACTTTAAATGTTAGATTACTAAGCAGGTCCAATTGTTTAGTTTATAACACATCTCCGGGTTTTACTGTTTAAACGTCGATTACTTACATTTTAAATTTTCAAAACCGGATAGAATAATAACTTATATTATGCAAATATAAATTTCGTCATCAAAATTCACTATGATTAAAATCAAAGGAAATATCGATTGCCCCCATTTTTTTCTTCTTTTTTTACATTTGTTTATCATATTGCAAATGAACAACTGATGTTCAAAGACCGATTATTATTTTTATACGAGAAGTATTTAGAATGAAGGAAAATGCATTTATTTTTATTCAAATGAATTCAATGTACACAAAATAATGACACAAAAAAAAGCTGAACAAAAAACAGCAGAAAAAGTTCAAGGAATTGTAAGGCATTTTGTTTTCAAATTTTTTCTAATAATAGATGGTTCTAAATATGTTTCTATAATATAATGTCATACTTGTGTATATACGTATACAGTTGATTATGAACTTCAACTATGAGCATGCTCACTTATAATATCTATATATGCAGACATATACGTTTCCACATAATATTTAAATTAAATACTTTAAATAATGGGGCGATGATTATGAATTATTCTACTATAGTACAATATTGAAATAATAGAAAAATTTATATAAGTTAATAACAATGATGATAAGTAACATATGTGCATACTTGCATTAACTTATAAGTACAATCGTTTGTAATTTACTAGTACGTCAGCTTGAAAAATAATTTTGTTTATTTTTATTAAATGGTAGGGACATTATTTGAGTTTATTTCAGTAATTTGTGTTTTGATGATTTTTGTAAATTTCAACTTAAGTTAATGATAAATTACTAGTTTTTAGTTATTATTAAAAATATTATTCTTAAACAAATTTATAATTTAACACGAGTGATGTAATTGCCACAGGATGAAATAACTCCCATATGTTAGTATCTGTTGAGACAACGTCAATACAGATGAATACGTTTATAGATGCGTGTCAAAATTATTAACCGGACCACTGTCGCCATCAACGCTCACTCTAATGTCCCATTAAACTAAAGGCTGTGCATCACACCAGTATAATACACACAAAGACAATAATCTGCCGAAGCCCTATTCCTCAAAATTTAAGGTACCGAGAATTTGAATATCCAGAATATGCTCGCTTCCTTCTATTAATGAAAAAGTCTGTGCAAACAGTTCGTAATCAATTCTTCCACATTTATGCATATGATAATTGAGTTCGCAGTAGATGTTGAAAAAGACTTTTTGGATCATTTTTTTGTCTACCTTCTTCTTGGTACATGAGAAATCGATTATCTGTTTCTCATAAAAAGGCTTTCATAGAATTTTAACAGGGCGTAAAAAGGCTCCGATCTCATAAACCACATAATCATCCTATTACTAGTGATTAGAACTCTGGTTCCCTGGCTGCTGAACAAACATATATTTTCTGTGAAATTTCTACTATACACACAGATATTATAGGCACAGCCCCTAAATTGTTGCCTGATATACGGTTGTTTTGTATTCTAGATAGCTTAAGAAATGAATACTGACGTTCTCCCCATGTACTATTTGAGTAAGGTTCACTTTGGCTGCCGTTTCAGTTACGCCCGCTTTAGCTGCCA